GTAGGAGTGCTCTTATTAATCAGAGTTCAATCCTTCCTTTACTTTGTGGACGCCTCATAAAAGTATGTTTAATTACTGTTGAAAATTATATGTTAAAAAAACTAATAAAAATTATATTAAATAATAATAATAATAAAGTACAAGTCCCAAGACCAATCCTTCTTGCACGCCTCCTTTGGAAGAACAGCCCATTAATCAAACATCCTAGCCGAGCTCAATGCGTGTACCTTTTGCACCATCTAGTGGCTCAGATTGTTGTCACAGTATGATGACAATCTTGCACAAAGCACCCAGTTTCCTTGATGCTTGTCATTAACCAAACGAGCCTCCTAATTTCCTGACCTGCAGTACACGTTCTGTCTGCTCTTCTGTTGCTCTTGGTCAGGGCTGGAGTCAGATGCAGGTCAGCAATAAAGGAGGAAGATCTCCGTTGTCAGTGAAATTAACTCTTTATCCAAGGAAACAAACGTACAACTCGGCCTCGTGGCCTCAGCAACATTTCTCAGTAGGTCTTGCCCCTATGGAGCAGTTGACAGGACTGGAGGTCCCGGGCTTCCAAACCTCCCTAAGGCTCTGTCTCTCCCAGATGTTTCCCTTTTTTATATATATAAATTCATCTTTATTGGTTTAAAATTCAACCTTACAATAAAGGTAAATACAACAAAGTTAAGCACATAAAAGAAAGAAAAGAAAAATTCTCCATATCAAAAAGTACAAAAAGTTTAAAAGTAACAAGAAAAGAAAAAGAAAATAGCAATTAAAAGTACCAGATATTTATACAGCATCATGTCTTATCCAATAAAGTCTTCTGTGAAAAGCTTCCAGTCATTCTCATTATACTTTTTCTATTGTCTTGATTTTCTCACACAGTTTGTTTTATATCTTTTTCCATATATTCCTTTAAGACCTTTATTCCATTTATTTATTATACACAAATATCATTCAACTCTGCTAGGATGGTATCATTTTTATAATATAGTCTTATGTATTCCTTAAATATTTTCCATTCTCCATATACTTATTGATTTAAGGTTCCCCTGACTTTTCCAGTTTGCTAATTGGAAATACTCTATCATGAGAGTTTGCCATTTCTGTTATTGTTGGTGTCATTTCGCCTTTCCAACTTCTGGCCGCCAGTATTCTCCCAGTGGTCTCTCCCAGATGTTTCCCAAGCAGCCTCAACATGTGTCTACACACCTCTGGTCCCTGCTCTGCCTTCCTCATTATCCTGCACATTCTTGGAGACCAAGGGGGAGAGGAACTTGTCTGTGCTGGTCCCGGGGGCTAACCGAGAGCCGAGGTCTGAGTCCAGTCCTAGGTCGATGGTGCGGTATGGAGGCTCTCTGTCAAAACTGTAGCTGGTCCAAGGCGGGGAGTCGGGTGGGGTCAGGAACTCTGGCAGAAGAGCAGGACAGGGTGCAGGCAAGAACAGGCTAGCAACAACGTTGCTCCCGCAACCTGGGACTGGGGTGACTGGCTTTTATCTGCCCCGAGGCATAGGGCAGCCCCGGTCCACAGGTGACTCACCTCTCCTGGCCTGGAGGTGAGCACTCCTCCTGCAGGAACTTAGTTCCCTCCGTCTCTCTGCCCTGAGCCTCTGCAGCTCAGGAGAGGCTGGAGAGTTACTGGATCCAGAGGCAACCTCCTCTTCTCCTGACGGGGCTGAGAGTGGAGCACCTGCAGGCAATGGGTCCTCCATCACCTCAGGAGCCAGAACAGACTCAGCTGGTGCCTGCACCTGAGGATCCAGCACAGGTGAGGACCCTTCAGGTTCAAGCCCCAGCCCTGGCTCAGCTGGTTCTGGAGGCGGGGACTCCTGTGCAGGCTGGGATTCCTCAGGTTCAGCCTCTGAGTCCGAATCCCAGGCCATCACACCGTCGCAGCAAGAGAGGGAGACTTCCTGGATTTTTCAGCAGCCCCTTGACCCACCTACCCCCTTCTCTTCTTCAGCCTTGGAGTCTGAACTGCTCCCTATCACAGGCTCTTCCCGCACACTTCACCCTGTTGCCCCTTCAAGTATCTGGCACCTCCTCCCAGTCTTCTCCCTCTGATCTCTCTTTGGTATCCCATTACCTCTGGGGATTCCCTTTGGGGTTCCCCTGCTGCTGCCTCTCACCACTCCTCCTCGCCCTGCCAACTTGGACCGAGAACTTTGTGAACTTGGACTGTTGATAAGTGTAATAAGAATGTTAAGGTCTTATATATATAATAAGTTGGGACGCGGGTGGCGCTGTGGGTTAAACCACAGAGCCTAGGGCTTGCCGATCAGAAGGTCAGCAGTTCGAATCCCCACGATGGGCTGAGCTCCCATTGCTCGGTCCCTGCTCCTGCCAACCTAGCAGTTCAAAAGCACATCAAAGTGCAAGTAGATAAATAGGTACCATTCCAGTGGGAAGGTAAACGGCATTTCTGTGCGCTGCTCTGGTTCACCAGAAGTGGCTCAGTCATGCTGGCCAAGGGACCCGGAAGCTGTATGCCGGCTCCCTCGGCCAATAAAGCAAGATGAGCGCCGCAACCGCAGAGTTGGCCACAACTGGACCTAATGGTCAGGGGTCCCTTTACCTTCTTGAATCCTTCTTGAAATTTTGTCTTGCTTTTTGAGCAGCTGTTGATGGATGCTTTTTGCATGTCAGCCATGATAGGAACTGTTTCATGGTGTTTGGGAATTGTTCCAATAACCGTGTGTCTCAGAATGCCTCTGCGCTACATTGGAACAAGGCAAAGAATGAGCAAGGCCTTTGTGTAATGCTACGGAGGCTTTCATCCTGACTTAAACATATCAGAAACTCATCCTTTTTGATGTGCCTGTTAGAGAATCAGTCCGCCAGAAACAAGTAGAAGTTTCTAGAAGGTTCCAGAACATTCCTTTCTATATGGAAGTGGCACTCTGAGCTTAATTAGCATCAACTGGAAGTGCCAATAAAAAGTTTATTAACAGTTGAAAAATATCTTTGCTACCGTAATGCTTGTACCCGGTCAGGGAATAAAATCTCTTGACCGAGACATCACAGAGTTTGACAAGTCATCTTTAAAACAACTTCTGTTGTTGTCCACTGCTTCCGGGAAGATCACTCTGCTGAACAATTGAAAGAGGTTTTACCTACACACAAGTATATGCGCAGTGAGTGTGTGTGGACAGTGAACTTTTAATAGTGCCAAGTGTGGGGACTGTGGGGACGCAGAACTGGGACTGGAGAAGAAGAGAGATTCTGATGGATTGGAAACTTGCTTGAAAGGAATAAGCTGTTACTATACAGTAGACGCTCGGGTTGCAAATGTGATCCGTGCGGGACGCACATTCGTAACCCGCAGCGCCCCGTCTGTGTACATGCGGGTCGCAATTCGGCGCTTCTGCGCATGTGCAAAGCACGATTGTCCAGACCCGGAAGTAATCCATTCTGGTACTTCCGGGTTCGGCATGGTGCGCAACCCAAAAACATGCAACCTGAAGCGTCTATAACCTGAGGTATAACTGTACTGGGGTTGGATGAAAAGTGTTAATGTTTTTGATTGTGTGTGTTCTAATGCCTTTGTTAACTTACCTGTTATTTTTCTACAGGGAAGCTGCGTTCTGCTGCCTGTTCATTCATCTGGGAACAGATACCTTGTTCTTGGAGAGAGGTAGTGTTGTTGTTTTTTTGGCGGGGAGCGGGGAGCGGGGAATCAGTTGTTATGCCTGTGGCCCCTTCTAAACTTTGCATCCAGCAGGGTTGCAATTCCTGGAATAGCCAGGCTAGCTTCCTGATGTGGTAATGGCCTAAGTATGGGTTATTACGGCCTCGGTCCAGTATACCTGAAGGAGCGTCTCCACCTCCATCGTTCTACCCGGACACTGAGGTCCAGCACCGAGGGCCTTCTGGCGGTTCCCTCACTGCAAGAAGCCAAGTTACAGGGAACCAGGCAGAGGGCCTTCTCGGTAGTGGCGCCCTCCCTGTGGAACGCCCTCCCACCAGATGTCAAAGAGAACAACAACTACCAGACTTTTAGAAGACATCTGAAGGCAGCCCTGTTTAGGGAAGCTTTTAATGTTTGATGTATCACAGTATTTTAATATTCCCCAGAGTGGCTGGGGAAACCCAGCCAGATGGGCAGGGTATAAATAATAAATTATTATTGTTGTTGTTGTTGTTGTTATTATTATTATTATTATTATTATTATTATTATTATATTATTATTACATAACAAAAGAAGTGGCTCAGCAACACAGGGCAAATGGCTGGAGGGGGCGGCCTTCCTCAACTAACTGGTGGTGAGAAAAACAAAGCAGGTAGCAGGCTGGGAAGCCAGAGTCAGAGCCATGCCCGATTTCGGCTTGAATCCAAGGCTGTGGCTATGTGAGAAGCAAGAGCCTCTTGGGCTGTTAATGCTGCGAGCCCCTCCATCGTAGACTCAGCCAGGGGTCAGCAAACTTTTTCAGCAGGGGGCCGGTCCGCTGTCCCTCAGACCTTGTGGAGGGCCGGACTATATTTTGAAGGGGGGAAATGAACGAATTCCTATGCCCCACAGATAACCCAGAGATGCATTTTAAATAAAAGGACACATTCTACTCATATAAAAACACGCTGATTCCCGGACCATCCGGGGGTGGATTTAGAAGGCGATTGGGCCAGATCCAGCCCTCGGGCCTTAGTTTGCCTACCCATGACTCAGGCTTTATATATGTGTGAATAAACTATATATCTTAAAGAGACCACAGTCTCTGCTGTCCCTCATTCCAAGGAAACTGAACCCTGGGTAAGCTCCTGGAACCCCTGCAAATTGGGGGAATTGAGGAAATACGTTTGCATTTTGATTATTACAGAATTAAACATTTCCTTCTGTAAAATAATAATAATAATAATAATAATAATAATAATAATAATAATAATAATAATGTTATTTTCTATAGGCCGATGTATGTAATGGTACTGCTTGTTTTTCCTGTTATGATCAGCCATTCTATTCTGTGTGTGTTTTTCCTATTATGAATTCATGGTAATGGATTTTGGTTTTTTAAAAAGGTATGTTCCATTGAGAAGTGGTGGGATTACCTTCATGGGAGGTTTTTAACAGAGGTTGGGCAGCCCACATTGCAAGGAGCCAGACTAGATGACCCCGGGGGTCCCTACCGATGCTACAATTCTATGAACAGATGCTTTAGGGTCACATGTCTCGTGCAAATCCTTTATTTGGCAGCTTTTGCAACAGGCAGTACCAATTTATGGGGGGAGCTCAATGGTGGTCTGGGCCACATCGGTCCTCGCCGTGACTCAGGCGATGGGTATCGTCTGCCAGGAGAGCAAACACTTTGGTGAACTCCTCAAAAGTCAGTTGTCCGGTCTTGTCAACATCTGCCTTTTTGAAGAGCTCCTTCATGTAGTCTGGGCGGTTTCTGTTCTGTAAGGGAAGATGGGGAGAACTAGATGAAACTTTGGTTGGCAAATGCTCCTCTGAAAACATCATGATCTGCCTTATTCTTTGACCTTAGGGGACCAGATATGGCTGGACTACAATTTCCATCATCCATCACCACTTAAAATAAAAACCATGATATAGCTCTCAAGGCTATATCCATTGACGACAGATTGCTGTTCTACAGCTCCCTCTGGTGTCACATTTTTATAACATATTTTAACGTTTTAACTGACCATTGTAAATAATAATAATAATAATAATAATAATAATAATAATAATAATAATTTATTTTTATACCCCTCCCATCTGGCTGGGTTATCCCAGCCACTCTGGGTGGCTCCCAACAAAATATTAATAATAATAATAATAATAATAATAATAATAATAATAATAATAATAATAGAAAGCAATAAAATATCAAATATTAAAAACTTCCCTAAACAGGGCTGCCTTCAGATTTATTCTCAAAGTCGTATAAGTTATTTATCTCCTTGACATCTGAGGGAGAGTGTTCCACAGGGCAGGCGCCACTACCGAGAAGGCCCTCTGCCTGGTTCCCTGTAACTTCGCTTCTCGCAGTGAGGGAACTGCCAGAAGGCCCTTGGTGCTGGACCTCAGTGTCCGGGCTGAACGATGGGGGTGGAGACGCTCTTTCAGGTATACTGGAAGATTAGTCCTGATTAGTCCTGTCAGTATTTTGCAGGAGGGATAAAATAAAATAAAATCCTTCCAGTAGCACCTTAGAGACCAACTAAGTTTGTTATTGGTATGAGCTTTTGTGTGCATGCACACTTCTTCAGATACACTGAAAAAGAAGTCACTGGACCCTTATATATAGTGAGAGGGTGGGGAGGGGTATTACTCAGAAGGGTGTTGGGAATGGGTGATTGGCTGATAGTTGACGACTGTTAACGACTGCCATTGGTCTTACAGGAAAAAGCAAGGGGTGAGATGGCCAAAAATAGCTTTATCATGTATAATGAGATAAGAATCCAATGTCTCTATTCAGACCAGGTCTTTCCATGGTTTTGAGTTTGGTAATAAGTCCTGTTCCCACCACCCTTCTGAGTAATATCCCTCCCCACCCTCTCACTATATGTAAGGTTCTGGTGACTTCTGTTTCAGTGTACAGTGGTACCTCAGGTTACAGATGCTTCAGGTTACAGACACCGCTAACCCAGAAATAGCACCTCGGGTTAAGAACTTTGCTTCAGGATGAGAACAGAAATCGTGCGACGGCAGCTGGAGGCCCCTTTAGCTAAAGTGGTACCTCAGGTTAAGAACAGTTTCAGGTTAAGAACGGACCTCCAGAACAAATTAAGTTCTTAACCTGAGGTACCACTGTATCTGAAGAAGTGTGCATACACACGAAAGCTCATACCAATAACAAACTTCTCTAAGGTGCTACTGGAAGGATTTTTAAAATTTTGTTTCAACTATGGCAGACCAACACAGCTACCTACCTATATCTAGAATTGCAGGAGGGGTGTAGGTGCATACTAAAAGCTCACACGCCCCCCCAGGCCTCCCCGTTTGGCCCCACGTGGCCTTTTGAGGGAAGCCACGCCCAGCAGCCCTCCAACTAATATCATACATAACATGGGGCGTTAGTGTGGCAGGGCAGGCTTCAAAAGAAGAATTGGGGATTTGAAGTGGGCCCCCAATAGTTCCTTGGGGGCCACAGTTTGGTTAAAGGTGCTGAAAGTTGCTAGGGGACTCTCTTTTCCCCTCACAGCGCTACAGTTCCCAGGGTGGTTTAACAGTCCATCCCTTTTCTTCGGGAACTCAGTAAAGACCAGGATCTCATCTAACCTCTGCATCACCTTTGTGCAAGCAAATCAGGATGAACTCTCAGCAAACAGGTCATCCGGATGGCCCCAACATTACAAGAAAGCTAGCATCTTAAAAAGCAGAGACATCACCTTGCCAACAAAGGTCCGTATAGTTAAAGCTATGGTTTTCCCATTAGTGATGTATGGAAGTGAGAGCTGGACCATAAAAAAGGCTGATCGCCGAAGAATGGATCTTTTGAATTATGGTGCTGGAGGAGATTCTTGAGAGTCCCATGGACTGTAAGAAGATCAAACCTATCCATTCTGAAGGAAATCAGCCCTGAGTGCTCACTGGAAGGACAGATCCGGAAGCTGAGGCTCCAAGACTTTGGCCACCTCATGAGAAGAGAAGACTCCCTGGAAAAGACCCTGATATCGGGAAAGATGGAGGGCACAAGAAGAAGGGGACGGCAGAGGACGAGATGGTTGGACAGTGTTCTCAAAGCTACCAGCGTGAGTTTGACCAAACTGTGCGAGGCAGTGGAAGACAGGAGTGCCTGGCGTGCTCTGGTCCATGGGGTCACGAAGAGTCGGACACGACTAAACGACTAAACAACAACAACAACCTGACTCCCGTTTTTTGCAAACACATTTGCACCACCAACAACACCATTTCACTCACGCAGGCAGCCAGGAAAGTGGGAGCTTGGCTCTTGAGAAGCTCCGTCATGTCCTTGAGGCTCAAGAAGTCATCCTTGCCTTCCCGAGGAGCGAATTGATGGTAGATGTTCACAATGATCTCGAGCGCCAACTCCAGAGTGCAGTGAGGCAAACTATCCGATGTGGCTGGAGCCTTGGGATGGGTAACCGGAGGGTGTTGGTGGGTACTCGGAGGATGGGTTGCCATTCTCTGCAATCTCTGCTGACCTGGAAGAGGCAGGCGTATGCATGAAACTGTTAAGATATTCCGTTCCACCTTAAGAGGAACAGGCATGACTGTTGTGTGTCACATGCCTGTTTACATTCCAGCACGGCTTGCTGGGAACTTCCGTTTGTGTATAGCTTTTGCTTATGCTTCTTGCTTTGGACATGCAAGGAGAGCAGACATGTTTTTCTTTGTCCTGATGTATGCTAAATAAACTGCTGTGAATATGCTTTACATATGCCTCTATCTGCCCTTCTGTTGAGAAGAGTTTTTTTACTCTGCTGGCTTGCGTGCTCAGCTTCTGAAAGGTTTCTGAAGCCCTGAGTCACAGTTTGATGCAGAACCAAGGACTGGTTTGACCAGCAACCAGCTGGTGGGCTGGAGCCAGCTGGGGGCCTGCCAATTGCCCCCGTTCCCTTGGATACATCTCAACAGAAACGTGTTCATAATCATGGGCCTTTTCGGCCACTAAAGCTATGAAGAATTTAGGAAGCCGCAAGCCAGCAAGATATTCCAGTTCAGCCACCAGCAGCAGCTAAGGATGTGTGAATATGTCCCTTTCAATTTCTCAGTTCTCCAAAAGACTATACATTGACAATACTATGATAGTACTTAGAACAGTCATGGCTTCCTGCCCATCGCCCCTTGCAAAGAAAGAACCATGGCAATTGTAGCTTGTTAAGGCTGGAAGTCTCTCCTTGTTCCTATGTTTCAGTCATGTTCCACAGGAATACGTGGCAAGGCTGTCCACACCCAGATGTTGTTGTACAAACAGCTGTGGAGGCTGCAGGGCCCTAGAGGAACATGCCCAGACCCCTGGTCCCTCTCACAGAACTCTAGGTTAGGTAAAATCATCACCTAACTCTCCAAAATTATAAAGACCTCCTAAAGGACTCTGCAAATGAGGCAGAAAAGCAGGAAGTCTCTTTTGTTTGTCAAGGAAACATTTGAGAAACTATTACTACTATCATCATCATAATCGCCACCACATTTATAACTCGCCCTTTACCACCAAGTTACAACCATTTAAGATTTAAAAAACAGTTAAATAAGATTACAGGCACAAGAACAAGTTGAACCAGAAAACACACACCTTGGGTGTCAAAGGCCAGGTGAAGAAAGCTGCAAAGTTGTACAGTAAGCCTGCAATTTACACGGGGGTTACATTCCGGGGCTTGCGCCTAAAGCCAAAATTACGTATAGTCAAAACACATTTGGTTCAACGGCGGTTGGGTTTGCCAAAGTCCCCTTTTGGCCACTTAAAAACATATTGCCAAAACTTAGATAGCTTGAGGGCTTACCGGGAAGCGAAAAGCCAGATACACCTCTGTGAGGAGGGAATTCCACAACTTTAGGGGCTGCTACAGAGAAGGCCCCGTCCTGGGGTACCACCTCTGAGGGAGGGGGGAGCTACCAAAAGGGTCACCTCTGCTCATTTTATTACCGGGGGGTGGTCCTTTAAGGAGGAAGAGGGCCTTTCAGATATTTGGCGCCTAAGTCACTTAGGATTTTAAACACAAATGGGCAGGCCCTGAATTGGGCCCAGAAACAGACCAGTAGCCAATGCAATGCTTTTAGAACAGACCTTATGTGAAATCTAAAGGCAACCCCAGCCAGCAGCAGAACATTTTCCCCCACTGCCCAGGGCGGGCGTGCACCTGAGGGGGCAGGGCACAGAGGGTGACCTCTCAGACGTGGGATAGCCACTCTGGTGTATGGAGTGGCACGTGTGCCCTGCAGCCAGGGGCGGAACAAGTCAGTGATGGTGGACTTTTGGCACGCTGCCCGCCCGCAACTGCCAAATGTCAACCCCCTCAGCGAAGACACCCAAGGCGGTATGCCCCCACATACCCCCCTTCCTCCACCCCTGACTCCAGCCACTGCATTCTGGACCTGTGGAAGTTATTGCAATCACTGGGGGACAGGTTTTGGCGCAATACTTCTTTAAAGAGAGGGGTTGTAAGAAAGAGACTCACCAAGCTTGCCAGCTGATTCCTAGCCGTGGATGTGATGTAGGGCTCTCCTGGCGCTGTTATATATACCTCCCTGAGTCTGGATTTCAGCGATGGTGATGACACAAGAATCGGCTGCTTATGAGGGAGTGATTGGGTGCCACCCAGGAATTACCATACAACCTGTTTCCTGATGGGAAGTCATTAATCCTGACCAGATTCCATATGCGTCTGAAACACCTTTCATTTTGTCACCTTCCACTCTTGTGCAATGACTAAGAGCCAAAGTTGCCGTGATTGCAGTTGTGTTTCTTGTATCCATGCCTTCTAGCCTGCACTGCAACAGTCGAGGGAGGGCAGGAAGCAAGACAGAGAAAGTTAGCCTTCTTCTTTAGCTTTGCTGCCACCGCTAAACAGCCCTTTCAGCCTTCTTGGACAAAAACTGGTCCAGCCTATTCCCAAGAGTGATTTGAGCAGGATGACAATCAGGTGGCGGCTTAATAACCTTTGAAGGTGACTAGGAAATAACTAATCCAGAATGCGGCAGCTAGACTGGTGACTGGGAGAGGCCGCCGGGACCACATAACACTGGTCTTGAAAGACCTACACTGGCTCCCAGTACGTTTCTGAGCACAATTCAAAGTGTTGGTGCTGACCTTTAAAGCCCTAAAAAGCCTTCATCCAGTATACCTGAAGGAGCGTCTCCACCTCCATTGTTCAGCCCAGACACTGAGGTCCAGGGCTGAGGGCCTTCTGGCAGTTCCCTCACTGTGAGAAGCCAAGTTACAGGGAACCAGGCAGAGGGCCTTCTCGGTAGCGGCGCCTGCCCTGTGGAACGCCCTCCCACCAGATGTCAAAGAGAAGAACAACTACCAGACTTTTAGAAGACATCTGAAGGCAGCCCTGTTTAGGGAAGCTTTTAATGTTTAATAGACTATAGTATTTTAATATTCTGTTGGAAGCCGCCCAGAGTGGCTGGGGAAACCCAGCCAGATGGGCGGGGTATAAATAATAAAGTATTATTATAATAATAATTACTATTATTCTGATCTTGCAACGCAGCCGTGCAATTTCATTTTGCAAAGGTCACCTTCCTGGGGCAGGTGATGATTAAAAGCAATATAAAGGTATCATTCCTGCAGCAAAGATAATCGTATGTAAATGCACCTGAGAGTAAGCCCAATTGTATACAGAGACAGATTTCCTTCTGAGTGTTGCTGCAGGAAGGCGTAGGATATGGGAGGGGGTGTCTGTCTGTCTTCTCTCACTGCTACCTCTCTCCCCTCCACTTCCAGTTTTATCTATTTATGCTAATTGAAAGAAAGCTGGTGCAAAACATGCCAGTGTAAAGGGACAAAAATGGGCATGTAGATGGTAGGAAGTGGGATTATTATTATTATTATTAATTGAATTTTTGAATTTATATACCGCCCTATACCCCAAGGTCTTGGTGCACTTCACTGAATAAAATCAAAATATAAAACCACAAAATACATAATCAAAATAAAAACAACAACCGTAATAACCCCCCACCCCAAAAAACACATTTTAAAAGGGCATAGGATCATCACAACATTTAAAGTAAGACAATTAACAAAGCCACTTGTTAGAAAGACCATGATCTCAGAAATGTCTGCAGGAATATTTAAAGGTAAAGGTACCCCTGCCCATACGGGCCAGTCTTGCCAGACTCTGGGGTTGTGCGCCCATCTCACTCAACAGGCCGGGGGCCAGCGCTGTCCGGAGACACTTCCGGGTCATGTGGCCAGCATGACATTGCTGCTCTGGCGAGCCAGAGCCGCACACGGAAACGCCGTTTACCTTCCCGCTAGAAAGCGGTCCCTATTTATCTACTTGCACCCGGGGGTGCTTTCGAACTGCTAGGTTGGCAGGCGCTGGGACCAAGCAACGGGAGCGCACCCTGCCGCGGGGATTCGAACCGCCGACCTTTCGATCGGCAAGCCCTAGGCGCTGAGGCTTTTACCCACAGCGCCACCCGCGTCCCAACGCAGGAATATTTAGGGGCAACCAAATTGGCTGGGTGCCTTTCTGATACAGTTAAGCTGCATCCTAACTGTTTACTGGTTCTTTGTTCATGTTTCCTGATTTCTTTTCCCAAGCAGAGATAATGTCTTGGCGTGGTGGCAGCTCCCTAGAAAAAGGTCAGCAACTTTGGGGTTCCCCCTTTAAAAGGGTCAGCAACTCTGGGAAACAGGGGAGGGGTCCCCAGCCGGAGGGATCTTTGTGCCACGGCGCCGGGTATGCCAGAAAATGGCAAACTGTTGTGGACACGCGGGGAGCTGGATTTGAGACAGGGGAAATGAATAACCGAAGGAAACGAAAGTAGACAAATTGGCCCATCCGTCCCTTTGATAGGCAAACTCCCATTAGCAAGAAGGCGGTGAGCTCAGCTGTACGGAAAGGATCCCAAGTTCCCAAAGTTCCCAAACTTGTTCTACTGAGGGTTTTGCAATCCACTGTTGAAAGCCCTTTGGTTCCAGTACACAGAGAGGCGTCCATGTTGTTGAAATGTGGTACCCGGAAGGAGAACGAATGGAAAAGCCATCTCAAAAGTCCTCATCTACATCCCAAATCACTTACTGGAACTCTGAAACAGGTAGATCCTTTGCGGAGACTGACTCATCTTCAGGCAGCTTCAGCAATTATTTCCCAATCGTGAACTTAGCAGAGCCTTGACACACCTAGATCAGTAGCATCAACACGGATTGGCAGCAGCTCTCCGTGGTTTTGGGCAGAGCCATTCTCAGCCCAGCTGGAAATGCCGGGAATTCGACCTCCGGCCTTTGTTCATGCAGAGAGAGCTCTACCAATGAGCTGTAGCCCTTTGCCAAACAAGCACATTTCCAAAATGCAGTCACAGACTAGACACGTTTGTGGGGGCATAACTAGCCATTCAAATAAAGGAGGGGCTCTTTGTTGTATTACAGAATTGTAGAGTTGGAAGGGACCCTGAGGATCATCTAGTCCAGGCATGTCCGGGTTCAGGTAGGCTGTGATCTACTATCCAGTATCCAAAACTGGCAGTGATCTAGCACATTCTCCCATTGTCATTCTTCCACTTCTTCACTTTTGGGGCAAGGGGTTAAGGTGTTGTTGGCGGCCAGAGAAACCCTGAAATATACTCAGAGTCGAGAGTGGATTTCATGCTCTTTATTCAGCTCATAGTAGGGAGGAAGGCCAGTTCCCCCGAAATGTCTGCTTTACAGTGGTACCTCGGGTTAAGTACTTAATTCGTTCTGGAGGTCTGTTCTTAACCTGAAACTGTTCTTAACTGTTCTTAACCTGAAGCACCACTTTAGCAAATGGGGCCTCCTCCTGCCGCCACGCTGCCAGAGCCCGGTTTCTATTCTTATCCTGAAGCAAAGTTCTTAACCTGAATCACTATTTCTGGGTTAGCGGAGTGTGTAACCTGAAGCATATGTAACCTGAAATGTATGTAACCCGAGGTACCACTGTATGTACATTATTTACACAATGGGCCCCACGTGATTGGCTAATTCTGGCATTCTCCTGTAGGCCAATCAGGCTGCGGATTCACTTCCACCTGGAGTTTGATTGGGTGGCTCCTGCAGACCAATCAGACTGCTGCATTTTGGATCCTATTGTTCTAGGACAGGGGTCTGCAACCTTTAAGACAAAAAGAGCCACTTGGACCCGTTTCCGAAGAAAAAAAAACTGGGAGCCACAAAACTCGTCATTATAAAAATAACTTTTTTGTCACTTTTTTATTATTTCTTTGTTTGACCCCTCAGAATTACTCCTCCTCATAGAAATAAACGTTAAATTAACAAGTTACCTTTGTGTGTGTGTGTGTTCTTCACTCCCCTTCAAAACAGTGACCAGCGTACATGCCCCTTACAATGTAGCGGGCGGGCGGGAAGGTGACGTCGGGACGGTGCGTGACTAACGCACGCACCGCCCCCATGCGACGTCACAGCCAGTACAGCGCCCGCCACAGTGGGGAGTGTCGGGGCGCACAATGCGCCTCCTCCCCTCGCTAGTATCCGCCCCGGAGCCGCGGCAAAGGTGTAAAAGAGCCACATGCGGCTCCGGAGCCGCAGGTTGCTGACCCCTGTTCTAGGACCAATCAGACTGCTGCATTCTGAATCCTATTGTTCTAGGACCAATCAGACTGCTGCATTTTGGATCCTATTCAACTCAGTACATAACAGGATCCCTAACTGCTCAAAAGCCAGGGGAGTTTGAAAATACAAGAGAAGCGTTGCTGGGTTTTTAATAACCCCGCTCTCCAGCTTCTTGTTCAGAGATTGGCAAGAACTGAACATGAGCAGAGAGCTGGGCACCATGAAGGGAAGGAGGCATGCTAAAGAGCTGGGAGATGGCAAGCCAGCTATGTAGGGCAAATGTCTTGGAAGGGTGCAGGGAGAAGCATGCTTCTTTTTGTATGTTGTGAAAATAATTATTTGGATTTATGAAATCTATTTATGAAAAAGAGGGCTTAACAGTTTAGCTTATTAAATGGCAATGTTATTAAATACACTAATGATGTTCATTGGCCCTTGGACATTTGATTAAGCTCGATGAGTTTACTTGCTTAAATACACAACGAGTTTAAAGGAGTAATAGAGTTGCCTGGAAGTTGCCATCAAGACAGACAAGGCGGTTCCTGAAGGGGCAGCAGCAAACCAGTGAGCATTACAAAGCCCAGCTACGCTTGTAATATTCAGTATTTTTCTTACTCTTGTCCATTATAGTGCTTTTGTTATTTTTCTCGTTGCATAAAGCACGGTGAACCATGTGTGTCATTGTCATGGATTGCTCTGAAGTCATTTCTGCACCAGGTAAAGTAATTTTAGCCCCCACCCACTAGTCCACCCCCAATCTGTCCTGTACTTTGCCTGGCCAAAGGCAGCAACCCTGAGTCAAGCCATTAGTCCATCTAGCTCAGTATTGTGGACACTGACTGGCAACAGCTCTCCAGGATTTGCAAGTGTTATGAAAATTACGGGGGGGGGCACATCTTTAAAGTTATTAAATGTTATAAATATTATGCATAAATGTATCCTTTCGAATTGACAGCTCAGGGAAGTTACCTAGCTTTAAAAACCACATAAAATCAACTCCTTTGCCAGTTTCCTTCATTCCACCCCCAATTTGCTTCATTGGCCAAGGACTTGGAAACCACTCAGTCCCCGCCATAATCCCTCCAGCGGGAGGTCACGTACTCACAGGAAGGTACTCATAGGTGTCAATTGCTGGGCGAAGGCACTCCTTTGAACTTGCCCAGGTGGCAGACTATGCAAACCAAAGTTCTATTGTCCCTTTGTAGTAGGTGCTTAGAATGTACTTCCCAATACATATCCTGTCTCCACCTGTTGCCCCAACACATCCCTCCTATATTAATCATGTATAACCCTCCCCTTTTCTGATATAGCAATGATGTAGTGATGATGCTTAATGAACTGTATGCTGGGATAAGATTTTTGTTGTTGTTGTTTAGTTGTTTAGTCATGTCCGACTCTTTGTGACCCCCTGGGCCAGAGCACGCCAGGCACTCCTGTCTTCCACTGCCTCCCACAGTTTGGTCAAACTCATGCTGGTAGCTTCGAGAACACTGTCCAACCATCTCGTCCTCTGTCATCCCCTTCTCCTTGTGCCCTCCATCTTTCCCAACATCAGGGTTTTATCCAGGGAGTCTTCTCTTCTCATGAGGTGGCCAAAGTATTGGAGCCTCAGCTTCAGGATCTGTCCTTCCAGTGAGCACTCAGGGCTGATTTCCTTAAGAATGGAGAGGTTTGATATTCTTGCAGTTCATGGGACTCTCAAGAGTCTCCTCCAGCACCATAATTCAAAGGCATCAATTCTTCAGTGATCAGCCTTCTTTATGGTCCAGCTCTCACTTTCATACATCACTACTGGGAAAACCATAGCTTTAACTATATGTATGGACCTTTGTTGGCAAGGTGATGTCTCTACTTTTTAAGATGCTGCCTAGGTTTGTCATTGCTTTACTCCCAAGAAGCAGGCGTCTTTTAATTTTGTGGCTGGTGTCACCATCTTCAGTGATCATGGAGCCCAAGAAAATAAAATCTCTCACTGCCTCCATTTCTTCCCCTTCTATTTGCCAGCAGGTGATGGGCCCAGTGGCCATGATCTTCGTTTTTTTTTTATGTTGAGCTTCAGACCATATGTTGCGCTCTCCTCTTTCACCCTCATTAAAAGGTTCTTTAATTCCTCCTCACTTTCTGCCATCAAGGTTGTGTCATCTGCATATCTGAGGTTGTTGATATTTCTTCCGGCAATCTTAATTCCGGCTTGGGATTCATCCAGCCCAGCCTTTCGCATGATGAATTCTGCATATAAGTTAAATAAGCAGGGAGACAATATACAGCCTTGTCGTATGCCTTTCCCAATTTTGAACCAATCAGTTGTTCCAAAGGCCTTCTGACCCCATCCTCAGGGTTCAAAATTCCTCTTTGAACCTGTTGCGCAATAAACTTTGGTCTACAGCTATTTGCTCCGGTTGGGGGCTGGACTCCTTCCTTTATTCCGCAGGGACCCGCGGGCTCTGCCCAATGAGCTGGGTGACTGAGCAGCCTCGCACCTAGATTTTTCCGTAACAACAAGCAAGGGGTCTCTCTCTCCCAGCCCTACATGGGGATGCCAGGGACCAAACCTGAGACCTTCTGATTGCGCCAAACAATAAAGGTAAAGGTACCCCTGCCCATACGGGTCAGTCGTGTCCGACTCTAGGGTTGCATGCTCATCTCGCTCTATAGGCCATGAGCCGGCGCCGTCCGAGGACACTTCCGGGTCACGTGGCCAGCGTGACGAAGCTGCAGCTGGCGAGTCAGCACCAGCGCAGCACACGGAAACGCCGTTTACCTTCGCGCTATAAAGTGGTACCTATTTATCTACTTGCACTTAAGAGTGCTTTCGAACTGCTAGGTGGGCAGGAGCTGGGACCGAACGACGGGAGCTCACCCCGCCGCGGGAATTCGAACCGCCGACCATACGATCGGCAAGTCCTAGGCACCGAGGTTTTACCCACAGCGCCACCCGCGTCCCTTGCGCCAAACAATAGCCGTTCTCTAGTTCCTGCTTGCACTGGCTCCGCCCACTGGCTCATGGCCCCCCAAAACCTCACTAAAGAGAGAATGTGGCCCTGGGGCTGAAAAAGGGTTCTCCAGCCTTATATGCGCCATGAACCTGAAACTCGGGCAATTGTACTATGTTTCACAACACCCCATAGACTTCAGGAACGTTGTGAGTTGATCATGAAGGCAAACTTCTTTTCCTTGTTATTTGTTCCCAGACAGCGCCTGGTATCTGCCTGTCCTTCCTGTTATTGAGGTTCCTTTAATTATCCACGGCTCTTAGCCATTGATATGCAAATCCATTGATATGCCAAGCAAGTTGTTCTGTGGCCCCATTTGCACAATCCAGGTTACCAGATTCGACAAGCAATAGCTGGCTTTTCCAAGGCTTGCAAGGTGGCCTGAGTTATTAGTCGTGGGTGGATGGGCGTCGCTGCTTTCCGTGTTTTCATACCCCCAAAATGTTGGGTGTTCTCATAATGGACCACGTTGCGCCAGCCACAATGCTGATGTTTACTCATTTAGACGTGTGTAAGAAGAGGTTGCTGGATCAGGCCAATGACCCATGAAGTCCAGCATCCTGTTCTCACAGTGGCCAACCCAGATGCCTCAATGGGAACTCACAAGCATGACTCGAACACAGGACCCCTCTCCCCTCCTGCGGTTTCCGGCCATCGGTATTCAGAAGCATTGCTGAGGCATAGCCATTGTGGTTAGTAGGCATTGGTAGCCCTAAATCACATGGCGTTAAGTAAATTAAACTCTTTATTAAAAGATACATGACTGCTCAGCCCAGGCCTGGTGAGCACATCAATTTGTCCCAGTAGATCTTGCCCATATTATGCAGTTGTGGGGGTCTCTGCCTTCCCATAGCTGCCTAATTCTCCTCCTCCCCCAGGTCCTTCCCAAGCAATCTGAGACTCCATCACTGTGCCTGTCTCTGTTCCACCCTCTGCATACCTCTTCTGGTCCTGGGAGACTGGGGAGAAGGGAGCTGGTCACAGCTGGAGGGGAAGACACCTTGGCTTCTTCATCATCCTGACTCATTGGCGCCCCCCTCCTCTCCAACTTCCACTTCTGCCTCTGATTCTGAACTGCTCTCTGCCATCGCCTCTTCCTGCACACTAAACCCTGTCGTCTCTTCATCTTCTGACACCTCCTCCCAGTCTTCTCCCTCTGACCACCCATGGTCTTCCCACCACTCATCCCCAGGCTCTGAGCTTTCTTCCCTTGGGGGTTCCCCAGCTGGTGCCCCCCCCACTACTTCTCTGACACCAGTCACTCCATGACACCATCCCAATTGGTGACCAATGGACAACATGTGTGAAGGGCACTCAAATTACAATACAGCAGGAAGTTCAGCTCTGTATGGGGGGGGGTGAATAGGGACAATGGTCTCCTTTCCCATTTGCAGCTTTTAATTTCATTTCATTTGATTTAAAATATATAACAAAATGTGCATATTCCACTTGATGGTAGTAAGCCATATGTCGTCTTACCTCTGCCCATCCTGGCTTATTTAGCAGAGAGGGCCCTGGCTGGTTAGGTTTAGAGTGTGGTTAACGCTTTGTTGTTTGAAGGGTTAGTCGGGTGGCGCTGTGGTCTAAACCACTGAGCCTCTTGGGCTTGCCGATCAGAAGATCAGCGGTTCGAATCCCCGCGACGGGGTGAGCTCCTGTTGCTCTGTCCCAGCTACTGCCAAGCTAGCAGTTTGAAAGCATACCAGTGCAAGTAGATAAATAGGTACCGCTGCGGTGGGAAGGTAAACAGCGTTTCCATGCTCTCTGGTTTCCATCACGGTATCCCGTTGTGGTTTAGTCCTGCTGGCCACATGATCCAGAAAGCTGTCTGTGGACAAATGCCACCACCCTCGGCCTGAAAGCGTGATGAGCGCTGCAACCCCATAATCACCTTTGACTGGACTTAACCTTCCAGAGGTCCTTTACATTTTCCTTTGCTCCTAGAGGAGCTAGCTCTGGACCTTTGGAGTTGTAATAACTACTGACCAGTTACAAATACCCCCATTTTGAGGGGAAGTGGTGTAGAGGGGTGTGTTGAGACAGCTGCAAGCATTATTGGAGGACACTGGTTGTTTAGAGCCATTGCATTCTGGGTTCCGGCCTGGTGACAGAACTGTGTCAGATTTGGTCACCCTGACAGATGACCTTTGCAAAGAAGAGGACAGGGGAGCGGGATGTTGCTCCCGCTTGCTCCATTTGGACTGTGAGTGCTAAAAGACCTTGCTCCCTGCCTTGCAAGCCTTTTCCCACCTAGTCCAGGAGAGAGCCCTAACTGACTGACTCCAGCTGAGAACGGTCATAGGAGTTTGCAGTGCTTTTTTTTCAGCTGGAACTCAATGGAACTCAGTCCTGGCACCTCTCAAGAAGAAGAAGAAGAAGAGTTTGGATTTGATATCCCACTTTATCACTACCCTAAGGAGTCTCAAAGCGGCTAACAATCTCCTTTCCCTTCCTTCCCCACAACAAACTGTGGGGTGAGTGGGGCTGACAGACTTCCGAGAAGTGTGACTAGCCCAAGGTCACCCAGCAGCTGCAATGTGGAGGAGTGGGGAAGCGAACCCGGTTCACCAGATTACAAGTCCACCACTCTTAACCACTACACCACACTGGCTATCAAGTGGGCGCCATTGCCATTATAAGAGAACAAGAGAGGTGTTCATGGTGAGTTCTGGCACCTCTCTTGTTCTAGAAAAGTTGGGTTGCATTGCAGACCTTCCAAGTGCCCCTATTTTCTAGGGACAGCCCTGGATTTACAGAAGCCATCCCAGTTTCTAATTTGATCCCAGAATGTCCCGCTTTTCCTAAGGACGTCCCTAATTTCATGGAGAAATTTTGGAGGGTATGGTCAGTTATGCAAACCCCACCCTCCGGCCCTGAGCCAAGGAGATAAGTAACTACACAACCTTTAGAAGACATCTGAATGCACCCCTTCATAGGGAATGTTTTATTTATTTATTAAGGGAGTGTTTTATTTATTTAATGTTTTATTATGTTTTTATATATGTTGAAAGCTGCCCAGAGTGGCTGAGGCAACCTGATCAGATAGGCAGGGTATAAATAATAAATTTATTTTGATGATGATCCTGATGTCCCTAATTTAATTTGCGAAATATAGCATTGTGCTATCAGTATGCGAGTGAAACCCAACTCTATGTCTCCAGAACATCTTAATCAGGACAGGTTGTTCAGTCCCTGGGGGAGGGCCCGGACACAGTGGTGAGATAAAATAAGCTGAGCTTGAATCCTGGCAAGGCAGAGATGCTTTCGGTGGGTAGTTCTGTGAAACAGCTCAGTTGCTGTCAAACTTCGGGGAATCAGATCCTTCCCCCGGTGGCAGTGATTAAGAAGATCAAACAAAAGGAGCATTCGAACCAGAGTTTCTTTAATAATCACAGCGAGAGACGAAGGATTGCTTATGCCTCTAAAAATGGCGTTGCTCCCAGATAAGCTGTACCCCCTCTGTCCCCATTAATCTACATCACCCCTTAACCTGAGCTTGTTGCCACTGCACTTTCTGTTCTATCACTCTTGGAGACCGTCTAGTCCTAGGCGAAGGGGGATCAGGAATGCTGTTCGAGGAAACTGAATCTGTGAGCTGTCTCTCTCCTAGTGTTTCCTCTTCCAACTGCTCCTCACCCAGTATTTCCCAGCTTTCCCCCCCTGGACTATGCCCCTCTGCAAATCACTGTTCTAAATCAATACTGTCCTCCCTGTCCTCAGGAAGTTTCAGGAGAAGGACGCAGCAGCTCCCACTATTCCTCCTCAGGGGTTTCTGGGGAGTTCACTGCATCCCACGGTGTCACTTAAGCCCGTATTTGCCAACTTGAATGGCAGATCGGGTGCAACCTGGGAGTGTGTCCCGGCCATGGATGAACCTCTGTCTCTGGCATGATTTGTGATCAGTTCCTCACTAATTTGGAATATTGGTGTTTATTATGAAGCGCTCCTGAAACGACATATTATAACAGGCTGCAATCAATCAGCTGCCAAGATCTTCTCTTTGGATCTTTGAAGGTATTTGAATGATTTTTATGAAGCTTGAAACCCCTTACAACAGCTAGCATAGAAGGAGGAGGACAAGGTGCTTTGTGCTTTCATATGTTTTCCAAATGGTCTTTTTTCTTCCTGACCTCTCCTTCAAAATAAAGATATGTGCGTAGTTGTAGCTATATTATTCTGCCTGACACCAAGGAAAAGAGAGGGGAGGTTCTTGATTTATGCTGAACAAGGAATTTAACAATGTTTTATTATGCCCTCCCCCCTCGACTGAGGTTGAATGGACTTTATTTAAAATTATCTTTGGACTGGACCAGGAATATGAGGGAGAAATTAAGAGCAAGACGATGAACGGCTGCTAATTAAATCTGACAAGAGGTTTCATTTGTGAAAAGGCTTTATCTTTTGCCGCGTGCCGAAGAAGAACCCCAGAGTGGAATTTTAATGGCGGAGAATGGACATTTTATCTGGGAGTTATTTATAGACGCAGCCTTGTGCGCAAGCTGGGAACAGCGGAAGGGAAGGAATGTTGCTTTGTAAACATGGCAGTGAACTGGAGAAAAGAAGAAAGCAATTAACTCTTGCAACACACCAGGTCTGAGAACAACATTTATGAAGGACTACATGCGCTGTGGGTTAAACCACAGAGCATAGGACTTGCTGATCAGAAGGTCGGCAGTTCGAATCCCCGCGATGGGGTGAGCTCCCGTTGCTCGGTCCCTACTCCTGCCAACCTAGCAGTTCGAAAGCACGTCAAAGTGCAAGTAGATAAATAGGTACTGCTCCGGCAGGAAGGTAAACGGTGTTTCCGTCCGCTGCTCTGGTTCACCAGAAGTGGTTTAGTCATGCTGGCCACATGACCCGGAAGCTGTACGCCGGCTCCCTCGGCCAATAAAGAGAGATGAGCACCGCAACCCCAGAGTCATCCGTGACTGGACCTAATAGTCAGGGGTCCCTTTACCTCCTTACATGCGTGAAATGGATTTTATATTTACGAAAAACAACAGAGGTGCTGTATGTAAGGAAACAGTAAAAGTCAGCTGTGAGAATGTACTAACATCAAGAGAAGGATTATTAAATGGAGATCAAAGAAGGATGAAGTGGCTACATGAGGAAGTAATGGACATATGTTTGCAACAGGAGCGGGAAACCTGATTCCGCCCCCGCCCCCCAAGGAATTGTATTAATTGTGTGATCTGGGCTGATTTGTAATAATTTGGGAAACTAATTAAAAATATTAATTAAAAAAACAAATAAGTATTACATTTAAGGCAGTAGATAAAGGATTCGGAGAGAAACACCAAGGATGGGAAGTCAAAAGGTTTTAAGGGAATATTGCATTGAAACTGAGCTGAATTTGTAAAACTGTATGAAAATTAATGAAAGTGGATGCAAACGAAACAAAAGACATGAGGAGAAGACCCAGAGAGTTCTCAATGAAGTGTGTTTTATTGTTCTTATGACAAGACTTTGAAGTCTTCTAGTGCCAGCGATGTAGTCAGGCAGGGGTGCCTACAATCCATGGGAATGGATGACTCAAGAATGGGATCCATTGGGACCGTGGCTGCCTTGCAGGTGGGCCCTGGCTAATTCAGTGCCCTGTCTCAGGCAGGCTGTGGGATCTGTTGTGAGCATCTATGAGGGCAAGCTCCAGCACAGGCAAGAACTCTGTGAACTTCAGCTTCCCGTCACGGCTCTTGTCTGCTTTTTCAAACATCTTCTTGATGTAAGCATCCTGATTCATACCGGGCTGCGGATAAGATTAAGGAGGAGGAAGCAGGAAAGGGTTATATTTATTTGTTCATCATCATTATTAATTGCTCGCCCTTCACCCTAAGGTCCAGAGGCAGGTTACAAGATTAAAACACAACATGAAAACATTTTAATGCAACTTCCAGCTACAGAAATAAGGTGAGCTCTTAAAATATACATCTTCAGCATCTCCAAAAGCTGTATAAGGTGCCAGGCTCTGGAGACAGAGTTCCACAGCTTTGGGGCCACAGCAGAGAAGACCCTGTCCTGCGTCACCACCACCCCCAGAACATCTGAGGGTGGAAGAACTACCAAGAGGTCCCACTCTGCCGATCTCAGCACCCAAGAGGGTCTTGAGGGAAGGAGGTGGTCTTTCAGTTATTTGGGGACAGATTCCAGCTTCCATCAGCCCTATCAGTCATGGCCAGTGAGCAGGGGGTTGTGGGAGTTGTAGTCCTGCCCCTGGTCTTAGAAGAAGGCAAGAGCTGAGATGGTGGTCTCTCAGGCTCAGGAAAAGCAAGAGGTGGTCTAGTTCAGGGTTTCCCAAGTTTGGTTCTCCAGCTGTTTTTGGACTACATTTCCCATCATCCCTGGCCACTGGTCCTGCTAGCTAGGGATGATGGGAACTGTAGTCCCGAAACAGCTGGAGAACTAAGTTGGGGAAACTGGGGTCTAGTTAAAGGCCAAGGGAGCCACAAATGTTATTGCACTCCAACTCCCATCAGCTCTATCCAACATGACTAAGGGTCAGGAGATGATGGGAGTTGGAGTCCAGCATCCTCTGGAGGGCCACACACACACACCCCAGGACCAAGAGCTTTGCCCCCATCCCTGTGGCCACAGTTTTCCCAGCTGTCCATCAGTGCTTACAGGTAGAGTGTCCTTCAAGAAAGGCTGAGCTTGTTCCTTCAATAGCTTCTCGAACTCCTTGAACTGCAGGTAGTCATCCATTGGGTTCCGAATGGCATACTGGTGGAAGATGTTGACTATGCACTCCAAAGCCTTCTCCAGGAGAGTTTTCATCTTGCTAAGCCTTTGGGAGAATACAGAGGAGAGGGAGGAAAATGGGAGAGGGGTTCAAGGCTCAGCTCTGCCTATAAGGGGAGTCAGCAGAGTAACCAACATGGTGGCCTCAAAATGTTGCTGATTTCCAGCACATATAATCTCTGTAGTTGGTTGAACTACAACTCCCATCATCTTTGTCCAAAGGACTCTGCAGGTTGTGGATCATGGGCATTGTAGTCCATTCACATCTGGGGATGACGAAGCCTGGGCTATGCTTACTGGCCGTGGCTCTCCTAGAATTCAGGTGGGTGACATTCTCAGCCCTACTTCCTCCAAATCAAGTAAGATTCTAGTCCTCATGGTTTTGAATGAAGGGCTGATTTAAAGTGCTGGCATCCAGGACCCAGAAAGAACACATCAAAGCCCCTTGGAAGCAGCTTTTAAAATGAGCCTGCAAATTTGCCTACAAGACGTTTTTACTAGTCTGCTAAGCAAGGCTGAAAAATTTTCAGCTATGCCTCCAGTGTGGCCAGGGCAGTGAAAAATAAAATAAGATAATGGACTTTCTAACCAAGCAGGTGGGATGCGGGTGGCACTGTGGGTTAAACCACAGAACCTAGGACTTGCTGATCAGAAGGTTGGCAGTTCAAATCCCCACGATGGGGTGAGCTCCCATTTCTCGGTCCCTGCTCCTGCCAACCTAGAAGTTCAAAAGCACGTCAAAGTGCAAGTAGATAAATAGGTACCGCTCCGGCAGGAAGGTAAACGGTGTTTCCGTGTGCTGTTCTGGTTCGCCAGAAGCGGCTTAGTCATGCTGGCCACATGACCTGGAAGCTGTATGCCAGCTCCCTCGGCCAGTAAAGCGAGATGAGCGCCGCAACCCCAGAGTCGGCCACGACTGGACCTAATGGTCAGGGGTCCCTTTGCCTTTAACTGAGCAGGTTGTCAGAAGATGGAAAGAAGGTTCGTTCTAGACTCCCTCCAGTAGCCCTAGGTATTTCTGCATTGGTAATGGAGGAAGGGACTCTGGGTTAGCCCTACTCAGAGCAGACCCATTGTAATGGATGGACTGGGCTAGCTTAGCTCCACTCCTTTCAATGGGCTGACTCTGAATATCCCTTGGCCAGCTACTGCCCTCCCCTTCCTTGGCAGCTAGCAGCAAACCAAAGCAGGCAGAGGAGGAGAGCAGTTCCCATGGGAGGCTGCTTCCAAGCCACCTCCAGGTTGGCTGCCAAGAGATGAGGACTTACCTGAGTTTCCAAAGGGAGCAGGATCCGAGAAGAGAGGTGATGTGATGTGAATGCAGGCATCAAGGCAGGCGGGTTTTTATAGCCTCCTCGGCTGCGGAAGAGTCTTGCAAATCATCCCGGCTTGTGCTGATTTCCTCTCCTCTGGAAAGAGCCTCCCATTGCGAAATGTCAAATAAGCACCTGCCACGCCCGCCTTGACGAAATCAAGGATGCATTTTGTCAGGTGTGATTTAGTTGAGATCCCTGCCTTGCAGAGGGCTAGAATAGATGATGCTCCAGCAGTGGCGTAGCGTGGGTTGTCAGCACCCGGGGCAAGGCAAGTAATTTGCGCCCCCTAACCCGTGGATTTGCGCCCCCTAACCCATGGATTTGCGCCCCCTAACCCTAACCCCCAGATGTTGCGCCCGGTGCGGCCGGCCCCCCCTGCACCCCCCACGCTACGCCACTGTGCTCCGGGCCCCTTGGAACTCTGCAGTTCCATCATTTTATGTTTTAAGAGGGGCGGTTCAGATACATGTCTGTCAAGTGACTGACTGAACTGCTTGTTTTGCCTCCCAAATAATAATAATAATAATAATAGAATAATTTATTGTTTATAACCCGCCCATCTGGCTGGGTTTCCCCAGCCACTCTGAGCAGCTCCAAACAGGATTGATGATGATGATGATGATACAGTGGACACTTGGGCTGCTAACGTGATCCGTGAGGAAGGCACGTTCGCAACCCGCAGCGTTTGCAACCCACCCCCTTGCCTCTTAACACTCCCCTAAGTAATCCCACTTAGGGGAACACTGCATTAGGTAAAGGTAAAGGACCCCTGGACGGTTAAGTCCAGTCAAAGGCGACTATGGGATTGGGGTGCTCATTTTGCTTTCAGGCCAAGGGAGTCGGCGTTTGTCCACAGACATCTTTCCAGGTCATGTGGCCAGCATGACTAAACCGCTTCTGGCATAATGGAACACCATGACGGAAACCAGAGCGCACAGAAACGCCGTTTACCTTCCAACCACAGTGGTACCTATTTATCTGCTTGCCCTGGTGTGCTTTCAAATTGCTAGGTTGGCAGAAGCTGGGGCAGAGCAACAGGAGCTCACCCTGTCGCGGGGATTCGAACCGCTGACCTTCTAATCGGCAAGCCCAAGAGGCTCAGTGGTTTAGACCACAGCGCCACCCGACTAACCCTTCAAACAACAAAGCGTTAACCACACTCTGAACCTAACCAGCCAGGGCCCCCTCTGCCACTGCTTTACACCTCACCCTAACCCCAAACCCCTTCATTGTTCACTCAGAACTCGCCCCCCCCCAATCTTCTCACAACTCGCCCCAATCCTAAAATCCTCTTGCTGCTGCTGTACTCAGAGAAGAAAGGAACGAAGAGGCGAAAGTCTTTCTCCCGGCACTGACACTCATTTCCTTCTGTCGGAGGTGAAGAGAGATTTCAGCCTCTTCATTCCCCTCTCCTCAGTGAGCAGCAGGTGATCTACAGTGTGATGCCTTTTCCCCTTGCAAAAATATTATATAGCAAGATAAGCAAGACCCTGCCTGCTTGCTCTGCTGGCCTGCGACCCCACACCACCTGCCTGCCTGCTTCCCCCGTTCTGCCCATTGTTGCCATGCTGCCATGTGCATGGCCCCCTACTGGCGGCTGCACAAACTACAGCATGCCGACTTTCCCCCTTGCAAAAAATATCATATAGTAAGATAAGAAAGATTGAAAGGCTTTCCTGTGGCACAGTTATTATTGGGATCCGCCATTATGAGACAGACGTTGTTGCGAGATTTACAGTCAAAGGGGGAGGCGAGCCACTGTTCTGCTATCATGTTTGAATTGTATATCTGAATGGGCAAAACTCCTCTGGAAAGACTGATTTATGGTGCAACTGGTCTGGAAAAATTAAGGAGCAGACGCTTAGACTGTATTTCATCGGAACTGACGAAAATGGCGCCGGCCGCTTGAACAGGACTTTTGGATCAGCGTGAGATGAATTACGGGAGAGCATTACAAAAGTTCACACAGAAACATAAATAATGCTTGCTTCAACTCGCCTGTGGAAATAGCTCGGAGGTTATTAAGAAGAAATACAATAACAACAAGGAGATGGGAAGATGGGACTTGTGAATATCAAAGCAGCAGAAATATGAGATGATTGGACCCTTACTGAACTCAAAGCATGGGTACCCCAACAAAAAGATTAAAATTCGGTTAAATATTTGGAGTTTATGATTTGTATTGATATAATTCGGAATAACTAATATGATATGATTGGTTTGTTAAATGGAAATTTAATAAAAATTATTTTTTAAAAAAGAAAGATACTTCATGGTGCTTTGGGAGTAGGGAGCTCGTGGGACGATGGAGGGGATCCAGCATCACCCAGAGGGCTTCAGGGTCCCTATCCATACAGGTAGAGAGTAGTGCACTTGATACACCAGTCATCTGAATCATGGTTGCTTCCTAAGCTTCTAAAGACGGCAAAATGGTGTCATCTCCAGCTGTGCTGTCATTTACACTGCCATCTATAGTTGAAATAGCAATATAACAGTTAACTCGACATCACACTTTCCGAAATTCTCTTGCCTGACGTGAGATTCAGCAGGCGTGAAATACAATAAAGAGTGGAGGCGAAGAGCAATAGACAGGCAGGAAAGAGGAACTCCACCCCGACTTGGCTGTCTGTTGCCAATGAGTCATTCTCCACTAGATCTCTTACCAAAATCCCCACTAGTTTGTCCTGGAAGGCGGATCATTCCTCTGGCACTTTGGGGAAGCAACTCCCATGTTTTGATTGTGCAGGGTTGCAGCACATCAAAGGTAAATATAACCTTGGCCAAACCAGTTATGGAAATCCAGCTCCTGCAGCTAACACTTAGGCCAGGAAGAGTTGGGACCTTCCAGCCCATGTTGGTGCAAGGGGAAAATATAGATGCCAAGATTCAAATTTGGGACAATTACTCTTTGGTGAGAGAGCCCCAGCAGAGATTTAAAGTCACTAAATGTGCAGCAAAGTAAAGTGTGGAAATATAGGCGGTTAGATCTTTAAAATATGTATTTCCAAGTGAGTTCCAAAAGAGTCCCCTGTTCCCCCAGCAGAGGAAAAGAGCGTGTTTCGTAAGTTCAGCATGGTTTATATACAAACTCTCCAAAGGTCAGGTTCATGTGTTGTTGCATACATCAATCAGAAAGCTTGCACAGGCAGTAAAACTTCATTTAGTTCCAAAGTCATGAAAGTTCCTAAATTATTGGTATAGGAAATCAAGAATGGCTTCTGAGAGCCATGCAATTTATCTGGAACAACCAGCTTTGCCTCTTCATGCTGAGCTTCTCAGTAAGACTGGAGTGGGGTAAAGGAACAAATTCTTGATTGCCTTGATTACCCTTTGGAGGTGAGCTAAGGCCAGCAGGACAGCTTACTCTATGGTCTTAACCCCTTCATGCATTAATTAGACTTAAGCCTGTTGGTTCTATGAGATGGGCTATCCCACAGCCCAGGGGCCAAACGTGGCCCTCTAGGCCTCTCTATCTGCCCCTCAGAACTCTCTGCAGGCCACATCCTGCACAGGCCCAGCTTCACCCCTGAGTGTTTCTGCCTGTCTGCAATGTATCCATGAAACTCCCTGATCATGCCCCTTGCTTGCGTGGGTGGAAGAGCGAGAAGGGTGTGTTCGTGTATGTAGTAACTATGCATGTAGGACCTATGAAATCCTATGTGGCTTAGGTCCAGACTATTTGAAAGACTGTGTACCCTCATGCAAACCTGCCCAGGTTCTGAGATCTTCAAGGGAGCCCCTTCGCTTGCTCCCACCCCCCCTCACAGCCATGCTTGCTGGAGACACAGGAACAGGGCCTTCTCGGTGGCTGCTCCCCGTCTTTGGAACTCCCTCTCTAGAGAAGTTAGGCTGGCTCCCTCCTCCTTGTCATTCCACAGGCAGGTGAAAGCTTTCTTTTCTTCTTCTTTTTTTAATTTTTAAATGTATTTTGACAAAGTAATAATCATAAATAAATAAGAATTAAAAACGTGCACCTCACCACCGAGACCATTCCATTGTAACTATCCAACCTCCCAGGATTTCAACACCTCTTGCGATGGTTTGACCCCTTTCCATTTTAAAAGTACAAATTCTACAAACACCCTCCATATCGCCTCAAAATCATTTCTCCTGCATATTCCCCCTCTTACCTTAATGGCACATGTTAATTTATCATTAATACTTATATCCCACACCTCTTTATACCATTTCCCCATTTTATACTCTGCTTGCCCCTTCCACTTCCTAGCTATCATAATTTGTGCAGCTGTCAATAAATTTGAGAGCAAGTCCTTCCTAGCCTGTGAACCTTCCACCCCACCATAAATTGATAATAATGCTACCTCTGGAATTTTGGTCAGCTTTAACCCAGTGATTTTTGTTACCTCCTTAAACACCCTTTGCCAGAAAAATTGTACATATTTACACCCCCACCACATGTGAACATAATTCCCTGTTTCCTGACATCCCCTCCAACATACCAAACATTCCTTGTTTATTTGATTTAATCCGACTGGTGTTAAATACCATCTCCAAACTAATTTATAATTTTCTTTTATTCTTATAGACAACATACAATTCTCCCATATTTAGGTGAAGGCTTTCTTCATCCCTTTGGGAACTAACTGTTGTTGTTTTTCAAGGAAAGGGCTGGTGTTGTGCAGTTTTCATTATAATTATCTGCACATTTTAAAAGATTTGTCCATATGTTTTATCAATGTTTTATTGTTTTTAAATTATTATTATTATTTTCCCGTTTTATCTGCATAAACCACCTTGAGACCCTGTCAGGTTGGGGGGAAATGCAGGATATATACAGTGCAAAGATACATTTCACATTCCTTGCTCATAAGAATGAAGTAAGATAAATCTGACCCCAATTTTTTCACGTATCAAGAACATAAGAAGACCCTGCTGGGTCTGGGCCCAAAAGGGTCCAACCAGCACAGCATCCTGCTCTCACAGTGGGTACCACAACAATGTCTCAATGGAAAGCCCTGCAAGCTGGACAGGAGTTCGAATCC